AAGTACAAATTCAACTAGCAGTCCTTGCTCCTTCTTGGCAGCCCCCCCAGGGTCAACCGTCCGTTGGACAAAGTCCAACGCGACGACGAGAGTAATGCCGAGAGTGAACGTACGCACGGAGACACAGACGGCTCGCGGGTGGCGAGAGTGAATGCCGGCGCGGAGAGCGGTCAACATCGGTCCAACGTCGCTCCAATATCGGTCCAACGTAACGGTTGACCCTGATGGTGAATGTGCTTGGACGGTCGATATCCGAAGCATGCACCAACGTGAAGTTATTCTACACCAATAGGAACGACCAGCCTCGGTCTTGCTGAGCAGTCCAATACAATAGAGAGAAAAGAGAAACAGAGAAAATAAGTAGGTCGTAAGGAAAATCGAAAGCTTACGATGTTCCAAGGAGCCCTTCTCGTTGACTCGTATAAGTGTAGATGCCTTGAAGTTGCGAGGCATTAGCGAACGTCGCGTTCCACTCATCGATGGGTTCACCACTGATCTCCGTCAAAGTGGCGTTAAGTCGGAATCCCTGCAAATATACATAGGACCCGGATGGACTATAATGGGCATCGGACAGCTGTTGAGTAATTATGCTTTCTAGCGCCTACGTCCTTGGAAGCACGCTAATTTCATAACATGCAAGCGAGGCGGTCGCGTAGCGTTTTTTGCATGATACAGTGAAAGTATGACAAATTTTGATTTCTTTTCAAGAGTTTCTCGAATCATCGCTTTACGATAGAATCAAACCAGCTTTTCTGGCTCCAAATCAGTTAAATTAATCTAAAAATCGGTAAAAGTGGGAAGTGTGAGCCCAAATCCCACCTCAGTTTCCCATAGGCCCACATTCTTTTAATATTTATTTGTGACTTACCTCATAAACAATGTTTTCTAGAGAAATAACATGTGGATTCTTCCATTCACCATAAGTGTCGACCGTGAAATCGACTTTATTTGAGCCGCGGCTTACTTGTCCAAGCGAGTAGCAAGTTGAGTCATCATTAGAAGCATCTCTGAACTAGTAATTTGAACGTCTACCTAGGTGCAACACACGCGACCGACGCGTCACGCATACGCTCGCCTTCTCGGCGTCCATCAGCAGCGCCTTTGCGGGACGAGTTTACGACCACGGACTTCTTGACAGGAGATCGTATTGGATCTTCGAATTCAAGGAGTGGGAATAAAGAATCTTGTTCTACCTCTGAATTCCCATCCTCAAAAATCCAGGAGAACTCAAGTAGTGAAGTAATTAAGTACGCAGTTGTATACTAAACAAACCATGTGATTACGGTGTGAGCAACACATTTTTATTGGAAGAGGGGACTACGTGGAAAATGCGAAAATACATCTGCATTTCCTATTTCATCGGTTACATTTGGAACACCCGCCCTAACCCGCTCGCATCAACTTCAAAGTTTTTTTCTGGGGGGGGGGGCGTTAGAAGAGTGTCGTTAGAGATTTCGTGACACGATTCTGGGAGTTGTCAGAATTTTCTCGAC